ATTACTCTCCAAGGGTTAACACTTGCCTAGGAATGAGCTATGCTTTTCTCAAAGGTGTCCAAAGACAGTTGCATTCCTTAAGGATCTATGAAAAGGCAAGGCAGCCGTGGTCCAGGAGAGCTGCTCAGCTTGTCAATATCCTCAGCAGTGTTGGTAATGGGGAGCTTAGGAGCCCAGAGATCAGTGAAGGTGAAATACTGATTTAGTCCTCTTGCAATAATATTCTCCTTTTCAAAGAAATGCTGTCCATGTTGTTTTTCTGAGGACCCTGAAATGTGATCTCTGCAATAGCAAAGATAGCAGAAGGACCCCCAGCTCCAATCTTACTCAACCACCTCCAACCTTGTTGGTACTCTGAGATACTGGAGAAGACCCTGGTTCCTATAAGGCAGCCATGAGCTCCATCAGAGTTACTTGGTTTTGGATAGGGCTGGCACTATAATTCAGAGAAATATTCAGATAACTGAAAGAGCAGATAAGAGGACATCAGGCCTATTCAACAAGTGAGACAGTGTCCTCTCCTCCTCCATCCTTTATTTTGGGCCATCATTCAACAGAGCAGCTAAGTGCATAGCTCCCAAGTCATGCTCTCTGTTTTTTGTGGGGGAGAGGGGAAGAGGAGGGAGGAGTACAGGTAGGGCTGTTGGATACCAAAACCACCTGAAGTAAGAACAACAGTGGAACAGCTTACCAGCCACTACCCACAGCCAGGAAGCCCTGTGCAAACCTATGTGGGTCTGATGTTTACTACAGTACCAGAAGTTCACCAAAGTAATGAAAGTTTTAGGTTGAACTTAGTATAGTCTCATCAGCATTCCTAGCTGTTGCCACTGACAGCCTGGAAGAGAAAAATGAAACACAAACAGAAGGAGAGAAGATCAAAGGAAAGCAGTGAAAAACCCACAGCTGTGCTGTGATCTTTTTCCCTTTCCTGGTTCATCCTTCCAGCAACCTACCTCACTACCAACAATTTGTCATTGCTAGGCTTTAAAGCTAGAGACCGTTCAGAAAGCATACAGAGATCACACAGCTTAGGAAGTAGCTTCTTGTTCTGGATGAAAGAAGACTTTAATAAGAAAATAGTATATATAATAGAAATGTGTTTAAATAGACCCTAATGCTATCTACTAGACACCATTACATTGACCTTAGAGTATCATGCTTCTCTCCCTGGTGTACGATTGCCTTGTTTAGATAATTAATAGAAATTATTTAAAGTGAGTTTAGTGCTTGTGAAAGCAATTGGATTGATATTCCTAGAGGTAACATTATTTTTTTGCCAGCAGAAGGAGTGTAACACAAGCTCACGGGGACCGGATAATAGCAATAAGAACTTTCCATTACTAGGTCATCCTTAGTTTGGTTTGGCCAAGAAGAAAATGACAGAAAATTGCTACCATCCAATTAATGGATGTCTAGCAGCCTTTGTGGAATAGCTGTTCTCACTCCACTTCCTGTCCTCAAGAAAAGAATAACTAGTATTAAATGGCACTTGTTATGGGGTATACAAACCCCACACTGAGCAACAGGTCAACAGGAGCTGCTCTGGGCTCAGCCAGCCCTGCCCCTCTGCAACTGCAAGGGATGCACAGTTTGGAGGAGGAGTTAAAAGGGAGCAGAACAGCTCATTTGAAGGCAGGCCAGAGAAGAGAAAGGACCTTTACCTTGCAGCTCCTGAAGAAAGGACTGAGGGAAAGCAGAATGTCTCCCACTCACAGCTGCTCGGAGGTCCCTCCATGAGAGAAGGGAGGATCGGCTTCTGATTGACCCTGAGAGGGAGGCATTTCCCCCTCTCACATACTAACCCAGTTTATTTGTGTTTATTCCCTGTATTTTGTTTACGGACTGCCCCTTGAAGGGGAGAGACTTGGAACTGACCTGGCCCGAGGGCCAAGGCATGAGAGGAGGCAGCTGCACTCCAAGCGAGAGAGAGTTCCTATGCCACACCTGGACACGAAGAAACACCATGTGGTGAGCTGACCCCTTCACGCTTTCCTGTACAGACTGCAAACTGTGGACAATAGAGGGGTGGAAGGAAGTGACCGAAGGATAGCACCCTTAAGGCACTTCTAGGTGTCAGACCCTTTTGTCCCCCTCACAGGCCCTGGGCTGGAGTCTGGTGGAGTAGGAGGGCCCAGGCTCCCCTACCAAAACCCCCTCTGCAGGTCGAAGGACCTAAGCCCCTGACCTCTAGGCAACACTCCCTGTGAACAAAGAGCATCTCAGCATCCTAGTTGCCAGTCTCAGTAGTCTTTATTTAGATTGTAGGCTCTTTAGGGCAAGGACAGTTTATATTGCTGTGCCTGTACGACATCTAACACATTCTTCACTGGTCTTTAAGCATTACCATAACAAACATAACAAGCCCTATTACTCCTACTAGTGCCCTCTCCACGTTAAAGTTGGAACACATTTGTGTGACAGCATACCACTGCTGTTTCCACCTCGCCTGCCTGTTCTGGCGATCAATAAAAGACTTCAGTTTTAAGGGCTGTCAAACAGGTACCTTCCACACACCAAATGAAATTTATATATCGTAATTTCCCAACTTTATTCAAATCTCACAAGCAGTTTAGGTTCAATTCAAGGTTTGGATGGATTCTCATTTTGTCCAAACCAATTTGTCTGTCCCTTTTTAACACTATTGAAAATGTGTAGGAAAAAAGCATAAAGAAAGAAACAAAAATTATGCTCTAAAACCTATGGGCCTGTCATTGTGCTTATGGGAGTTAATGGAAGCCTTGAAGACATTCCCCTGAATCAGGATGTACATATATCCAAGGGACAACAGATCCCTGAATTGGGAGTAATTAATGCTGAAATGGATTGTCCAAAACAATAAATGTCTCAATCAGAAAATGATTAATCCAAACTGAGAAAAAATTACTAATTATGGAACCAAAGAGAAGTTAGTTGCTCCACTCACTGAAATGCTGTCCTCGGAGTCTGTCTCCACATCTGAAGTAATTTAGTTTATGAATTAATCATCTTTTTCCCCCCTGTTGAAGTGCATTCAGTTTTGCTAGTCCCAAGAGGGAATAATCAACCTAAATCCTAAATCTCACTTAGAATCATAGAATATCAGGGTTGGAAGGGACCTCAGAGATCTTCTAGTCCAACACCCTGCTCAAAGCAGGATCAATCCCCAACTAAATTATCCCAGCCAGGGCTTTGTCAAGCCTGACCCTAAAAACCTCTAAGGAAGGAGATTCTACCACCTCCCTAGATAACACATTCCAGTGCTTCACCACCCTCCTAGTGAAAAAGTTTTTCCTAATATCCACTACAACTTGAGACCATTACTCCTTGTTCTGTCATCTGCTACCACTGAGAACAGTCTAGCTCCATCCCCTTTGGAACCTCCTTCCAAGTAGCTGAAAGCAGCTATCAAATCCCCCCTCACTCCTCTCTTCTGCAGACTAAACAATCCCAGTTCCTTCAGCCTCTCCTCAAAAGTCATGTGCTCCAGCCTCCTAATAATTTTTGTTGCCCTCTACTGGACTCTTTCCAGTTTTTCCACATCCTTCTTGTAGTGTGGGGCCCAAAACTGGACACAGAACTCCAGATGAGGCCTCACCAATGCCGAATAGAGGGGAACGATCACGTCCCTCGATCTGCTGGCAATGCTTCTACTTATACAGCCCAAAATGCCACTAGCCTTCTTGGCAAACTTGGTTTATATGAAAAGGGTTTTGTCTTTTCAGAAGTTCTGATGAGATAAAAACATATTTGATAAATATGAATACACGTCTTTGGTTTCCTTCTTCTCATGGTGGGCCAGGGAAGCAGTGGGAAGGGGGCCAGGGGACTGTATGAATTTGACAACAATGACGGGGGGTGGGGAAAACTGGAAGAAAAGGTAAAGGTGAGAAGAGCTTGTCAGTAAAAGTATGAGTTGGGTAAAACACCATCCTTGGCCACTCTGGCTGCATCAGCGTGTCATGCCAAGAGCCTTAAATTTAGGTGAGATGAACGTGATAAGGAAAATGAGAAAAGATGATGGAATGATATGACAGCAATAGCCCTAGAAGTAGTGGCAGGGTTTGATGTTGCAAGCCCAGCCATGGCACCGGCAGTTGTAGTGGAGGCATAGCAGCAAGTACGGCAGGTTCCTCTCAGTCTTCTCTGTCTGAAGGAAAGGAGCCGTAATAGTCCATCCATTTATTCTGTTTAAAAAAAAAAAAAAGAGGAGAAGGATGGAATCTCACTTTGCCACATCTGAGAGATGTGGTTTGTGTTAATGACATTTGTGTTGATTTGGTGAACAGAGCTGCTTTGTGCTCATCTTCATTCCTTGCCAAACAAGGTAAACAGAGTAAAGCCCAATTTTTTCACCCATCTCCAGCAAGAATTGAAACTGCTTGTTTGAAGATCCATCATATGGCAAATCTTATAAGCTTTCCAGTATTGCTATACCATCTGGAATGACAACAGACAACTCTTCCAAGGATTCAGCTCTGGTGGAGGTTATCATGCTGTCTGGAATGGCTCACAACTGTGAGTGCCTAAGTCAGGGCAGATTGTCCGAAAACAAGGGCAGACACCCCAAACTGGTGGTGTGTTCTATGATTAGATATCACCAAACCAGAGTTAGGGGGCTTATTCCTTCACCCACTTACTTCCCTGGTCCTTCTCGCATGAACAGAGAGCCACAATACCCGAAGTCCAAAGGTGCAAACAATTCGATGTTTATCGGGGTGAACTTCCAGCAAGCATGATTCCAGTTTCCTTCCTTAGTATCCTCCTTCCCAGCTCTGACACCACAGAGCCTTACACCTGTCCCTGTTCCCATTCCTACCCTTAGTCAAACATGATTCCAACTTCCTTACTCCCATTCCCTGTTCCCATTTCCCCCTTTAGCAAAACATGATTCCAATTTTCTTACCCCCATTCCCTGTTCCCATCTCCCCCTTTAGCAAAACATGATTCCAATTTTCTTACCCCCATTCCCTGTTCCCATCTCCCTCCCACACCCACCCTCCCACCCACACCCACTCACTTCCTCATTGACTACAGATTATATAGTAAAACTTGAGTTCTGCTTAGCTATACCTTAACCAATCATTTTCCTGAAATTTAACTAACCAATCCTAACATATTGTAACATGATTATGTAACCAATTATATCCCACCACCTGAATTAGTTTACACCCAGCAAAATTAATTATACAGCAGACAGGAACAATCACAGAATCAGACAGAGATTATACAGACAAACAATAGCAAAGTGGGAACTATAATGACAAAACAATACGGAAGTGAGGATTCCACATCCCAGCTATTGATAAGTGAGTTCTTGCCAGACAGGATGCTATCAAACTAAGTTTCCTTTTACATTTTCTAGGCACTTCCCTTTCTCTGGAGGTGATAGGAATACAATCCTGTCCTGATAGTGCCTAACAGCCCAATAGCACCTTATTTCAATGTGACTAGTTTGGAATGTGAGGATGTGACTGTTCGCTTCCCAGCTTATGGCTGCCTCTGCTGCTTAGCCAAAGGCCTTAGCCTAAGAACAGGGCCTCAGACTGTCACAGTAAGAGAAGGCCCTTACACCAGCAGACAGTGATTTTGTTTCTTTCTTTTATACCTCTATAATTAGCCAAGTGATAAGAATACACCTGAATTCTTAGAGTATAGGCCTTTACAGACAGGCCTGAATATCTATATCCTAACACTCCACCCCCTTTTTTTTCTTTTGGGATCCTCCTGCCCAGGTATCCCTGGAAAATCATAGGACATATGGCGACACATTTCCTGATAGGGCCAGGCATCAAGGTGGAAGGTGTCGATATTCCATTTGTCCCATGTGTAGTATAGTGCCCTGCACCTTCTCTCATACGGGCATACCACGCCTATTCCAATTAGTGTTCCAGACTTCCCATTATAGCAGGCCCAAGAAGGTTGGGTCCGGGTTGTCTAGTACACTGTAGGGTTTGGAGGGCTTACTACATTACTTATAGATTATCTCCATATGCAACGTAACATAAGTACAGTTAACAATACAAAATCCACAGCAACACTGAGTCCTGTCCACTGCAGTATGGTCCAACATCCGAGACACCCCCAAAACACTGCCTCTCCTCCTTCGATGGGGTCACGATCTTGTGTCCAGTTGCTGGCAGTTGCAACAAGCTGCCTCTGGAGGTTTTGCTTGCTTTTGTCCATATCATAAGTCCATTGAATGTTCACAGAGAGATGGGATATTGTCCAAACCAGCTTGACCACTTGGTATGGAATCAGGCAGTAAGCCCTGGCTTATTCACAGCAGTAAGATTCACAGATCCATTTGTGCACCAAAGTCCATATAGCAGCATGTAGATGGGTGTAGTTTGGTTATGGGCTGGTGTAATTGTGCCCCCAGTAATATGTACATTCCCAGCAAAACACCTTATACATAGTACACCCAATTGTCCACCCCTTGCATAGGCTCCTCTATAGTCACAGGAGAGGGGCACATCCAAACATCTTCTATTGATTTACACTATTTTACACACCCCTCCATTGATTCCCAGTGAGCTCCTCCCCTTCTCATTAGTTCCATAGGGCTTGTGGGGGCCACCTTAGTTGCCATTCCATTTCCAGGTACCACGGTAGCTATTACACAGATGCTGGCCTCCTATTGAGCATTTTGCATTCCCATACACATCTTTCCCCCCAAGGTCAGCCTTTTGAAGCCATCCCCCACCCACATCATGAGGTTTTCTGTTCATTAAAACACAACAATGCTAGCAACAAGACAAACACCACAGACAAACAACACAAAACATAGATCCATGGTATTCTGAGTTATTCTTCCGCTGGCGCCAGCTTGCTTGTAGAGTGTCTGAAAAACAAAAGAAACAATTTTCACCCCCTGGTGGGGACAGATTATTGCTTAATAATAATACCACTTTCTTTTACAAATTTCCTTGCTACTTGCAGGAAAAACAGAAGAATTACCTCCAGGCTGTCCTTATTTCATTCTAAAGTCAGGCTAGTGAATTACCTCACTCACTGGTCATTTATGAAATTCATGAGATGGTGTACCTCAGTTTCCCCTCTTGTACAACAGACCAAGTTTGTAATAGTTTCTCTGCTGTACCAAGCTTTAAGTTTATTCTCAGGTAATAGCTGAGACACAGCTTCAGATTTTAGCACTGCACACACACACACACACACACACCCCTTAAGGTTAACCTGTCCCCCTTATTTTCAGGCTTGACTTGTTTTTTCACCTCCCTTTCCTGGAGGGCCATAATCTGAGTCTTCTAGTAGCTTGTTTGCTGACCGGATGTATTCATTATTTGCAGCTCCTTTGTGCCCATCAGCTAGGTAATTTGCATTTACACAGAGGCTTACTAGCTTGCTTCTGGATCCAAAGCTGTTAGCAGCTCAGACACTGTCTTAAAAGGGAAGCATTTTACTTCCACCAGAGTTCTGATTACTTTCCTCTCCTGCTCCAAATCACACAGAGATCTGAAAAAGAAAGCAAAACCTATTGTGGCTCCTTTTGGAGCCCTATTAGGATTTTAATTAAGTACCATGTTTTATTTGCATTTCTTTTACCCTTCTCCAATATACACCGCACATGTCCTGGGAAAATGCAAATTCCTTCCATATAGTTTAACCTCCATAACATCATATTAGCCAAATTAATTTTACACAAGGTGTAACTGCCTCCCCCATGCCTACAGAGTTTTCATGCACACCCACCAAAGCAACAATCTAATCCCCCAGAGCCATCCCAAGGCTCAGTGTTCCCATCATTCCTCCCCTTTTCCTTTTCTTTTACCTGTGCGCACACACACAAAATTCTGTTTTGCCTAACATCCCTTGCACTGTGATTACTCTTTTTACACAACTGTACCCTGATTACCCTTCCATCTTGTACAACTAGACACAACCAGGAGCAGCCAAGTTAAGTTCCAAAAGAAACCCCTTCCATCCTTTAGTGATTTTGATTACATTACCCAAAAGTCAAATAATTTTGATCAGATTCTCTCTCTGCCTGCTGCCTGCAGCAGTCCCTTATAGACCATTTCTGTGGGAAAAGGGCCAATTTTCCCTCAGAATAGCTGTAAAGGCTTCTGTGGACAGAAGCGCAGTGGTGGTAGTAGCCACTCTACCTGACCCCCTTGGATAATTTAATTACCAAGCTTCCATCCAATGTGACTGCACAGAGTTGCACATACAGTTACATGTATATAACTGGGTTTTATCATTAAACAAAAACTTCTTTCTTGACATCTCACATAAGTATCCAAAGTACCCTCCATTAAAACTTCAGAAAAACAAAAGAGTGTGGAAAGGCAGGTTGCACTTTGAAACTTTTTTTTTTCTCCACTCCCCCAGGACCAAGTCCCAGCTCCAGTCTCTAAAGGTAGTCTGTTAACTCTGCTTTTGACATTAAACCCTTTTGTGCCAAATCATCTTTAACTACCCCTAACTAATTTACAACCCTTCAGCAGCCCTTGCTGAAGCAGCACCAAACTTGAAAGATTACTGGCAGCTTCCCATAATGCTGCCCTTACTTCAAACCTCTCACAAGCAGACTGAAGTGCCTCCTTTCCCTGGAAGGCATTCAGTCCCCATGGGCAGGGACCTTCTTCCACTACCCATGTACCAAGGAGGGTGGGCTCCTCAGCCACCCCCCATCCCTCTGGGTCCCCTAACAATTCCTCCATTTCCTTTTTAATCTCATCCCAGGTTGACCCCTGTACCTGGTATGGGCCCTGGTTCTCCCTTATCCATTTATCCAAAAAATCCTTTACCCTGGCTTGCCAGAACCCGCAACTACCATCACGAGAGTTCGCGATACCCCCTCCAAGCAGCTGCGCGGACTGTTGGGGAGAGGGACTTACAGGCTGCCACTCACCTATCCAATGCGATGCATCCGAGTCACCGGCACCAAGATGTTAGGGGGCTTATTCCTTCACCCACTTACTTCCCTGGTCCTTCTCGCATGAACAGAGAGCAACAATACCCGAAGTCCAAAGGTGCAAACAATTCAATGTTTATTGGGGTGAACTTCCAGCAAGCATGATTCCAGTTTCCTTCCTTAGTATCCTCCTTCCCAGCTCTGACACCACAGAGCCTGACACCTGTCCCTGTTCCCATTCCTACTCTTAGCCAAACATGATTCCAACTTCCTTACTCCCATTCCCTGTTCCCATTTCCCCCTTTAGCAAAACATGATTCCAATTTTCTTACCCCCATTCCCTGTTCCCATCTCCCCGTTTAGCAAAACATGATTCCAATTTTCTTACCTCCATTCCCTGTTCCCAACAACTGTGAACTCCTGGATCACTGTAACAGTCTTACCATGGAGTCTCTTAGACTCGCCAGCCTATCTTGCCACCCTGACAAACTGGATTTTGTGGTAAAAGGTCACTTAAACCCAAAATCACACATCAGGTTTCTCTCAGTCCCAAGCGACCAGTCACTTCCCCCATATCACTTGGTACTCCAGATCTTACACCAAAGACAATGCTGGTAGCTTTGAATTGGATGAATGCATTCAAAAATGTAGCCCTGTTTTCTTTTTTAACTTACTTGACACTGTATGTAGGTAATCCTTTTTTAATGTGACTCTCTCTCTTTCTCTTTTTTTTTTTTTATTACATTACTCCCCCTTAGAATAGTTATAAAAGGAAATTGGCACCGGATGCTAAATGGAATCTTCTCTATGAAAAAATAGCAAAGGCAGGTCCATAATTCTCTTGATATGAGGTAAAATTTGCACAGTAGAGATGCCCCAACCTATTGGCCTTTTGCAGGTCTAGGGTTTGCTTATCTCCCCTCCCACCATCAGACCTGCTCATCCATGTCTCTTCCACAAGCATCTGAGCTGGGATTACTCCCGTAATGGACAAGAACTTCCTGATGGCTCAGCAGAGCAGATATGGGGTCTCCCCATCCATGGAGCCTTGCTGACTTCAGAGGAGCTCCCCTGGGCATCGGGGTCTTCCAATGTGGAGCTGCTTGCAGGATCCAGGCCCATTTCAGACAAACACAATATATAGGAATCTAATTCTGAAAGAAGATGACACAGTGACATAAGATGATATTGATATTTATGTTGAGACTTTGCAAAATGAATGGGTTTCAAATAGGAAAGGGCCCAAGTTACAAATATGAGATTTAGATAGAGATTTATAACAACCCTAGGGTCAGCTATCAAGATTGTTAGCCAGACCTTGAATTCCTAGTGGACAGCTCTCAGCAGAGCACAGGAACTACATTTTTAGATTCTGTTTAGCAATGGAAAGCACGTCTGTCAAAGCAGGAACGGTTTTTGAAACCACAATGGAAATACTTCATTCCTCAAGACAAGGGCATAAGAACAAGGGCAGCAGCTTTACGTTAAGCACATTACATTAAAAATGTTTATTCATATTTACTTATTTATATACGATCAAATTAGAGACAGACCCAACCCAAGTCCCTCTTCCCCTGAGCTTTGGCACCTTTGAGACTTGCATCCAGCTTGCTGCTTTCTCAAGCTGAGTTTTCAAATGGCTTCCACTGAGTTTAGCAGAAGAACATACCGTGGCTCATCTAGTGATGTCATCAAGTTATCCGGTACCTCCACGTAGCACTATGTTTTAGGGCTTGTCTACACGTATGGTGCAGCTGCACTGCTGTGGCGCGTTAGTGAAGGCGCCGCTACACCAGCAGGAGGGCTTCTCCCATAGGCATAGTTAATCCAGCTGAGGGTAGAGACTCAGGAGTGTGGATTTTTCACACCTCTGAGTATTACAGTTATCCCAATGGAAGTTTGTAGTGTAGACCTGGACTTAATCAATGAGTAGCACTGTTATTAGGAAAGATCAGCTTTTAGTATTCTAGCATTCAAAACAGGGTTCTTGGAGGAGGAAGGACGTAATTAGCCCCTGATATTTGTGCTGCTGGTACACGACAGAGAGAAGAGTATTTTTCATTCTAGTACTTGAACCCAGCTGAGGGTAGGATCTTTCACAAGGAATTGTGAGGTTTTAGAAACAAACACTTTTAGTGAAATTCCATTGAAGTGGTCAGCACAAAGAGCCTCTATTCTACATTGTTGTTGTTTTTTAAGTTTTTCTCTGTATCTCCCAAGTCTACTTCTGCAAGTAGGCAGAACTCCATAGCCTCTCCATAGCCTCTCCAGAGCCTCTCCATAGCCTCTCCCTAGGCAGAGCTCCATAGCCTCTATTGCAGCTCTGAGGCTGCCTGTGCTCTGCATGGGGCAATGGCTAGCCACGCAAATAGCAGCAGATCTTCTGCTCATTCCTACTTCATTATGAAGGACTGCACAGGGTGAGCCCTGCAGAATTCTGCCTGCTCTCTCTGTACACTCCCCAAAACCTGTTCCCCCTTTACTGCATCTAACATGATCACAGGGGAGAGGGCTGGAAGTGGCCCAAAGTGATGAAGGTGCTAAGTGTTTCATTTTCCTGGTACAGCTCTAAGGTGCTAGAAAGCAAACCATGAATAAGCTGACTAAAATTGACTCAGGATATGGATTAAAAAATGACAATATGTACAGGATAGAATGTAAATCGGCCAAGGCCTCACGTTATCCAGCCCACCCTTTGTTTGGCAAATAAATAACTTCCACCTTAACAATAATGCGGAGCATCACAGTCTACTCTATCTGTTTTCAATTTCCCCTAAGCGATAAGCTTACTGAAAAATATAAGAATTTTAATACAGGACAAAGGATATGAAAAAACATGATTATTATTCTAGGCCTCTAGTAAGTCCCAGGAATCAAACATGCTTGAAATATTCTGCCTTTTGCAATTGAAAGCATTCCCTAGTCAATCTCACCAGTAATCTCACAGTAAAAGTTGCACAACCTTATACTGCATTTTGGATAGAAAGAGCCTGTCAAGATTAGAATAAAAGTCATCTGATGTCCTGTTCCACAAACACACACACATTGTTATAAGGTTCCTCATCAGTCTTCTGTTCTCAGATAAAAGATACCCAGTTTTTTTTAACCTTTCTTCATAGTTCTGGTTTCCAAAATCTTTTATCATTTTTGTGTTCTCCTCTGGACTTTCTCCACTTCATCACATGGTGCCCAGAATTTGACATAGTACTCCAACTGAGGCCTCACCAGTGCTGAGTAGAACGGGACAGTTATCGCCCATGTCTTACACATGATAACCCTGTTAATACACCATAGAACGATATTATCTTTTTTTGCAACTGCAACACATTGGTGGCTCCTAGTCAACTTGTGATCCACAATTACCTCTAGATCCTCTTCAGCAGTACTACAACCAAGTCAGTTATTCCCCATTTTGTAGTGGTGCAGTTGCTTTTTTCTTCCTACGTATAGTACTTGGCACTTCTCTTTACTGAAGTTCATCTTGCTGATTTCAGACCAATTATCCAAATTTATCCGGGTCCTCATCATGTTCTGCAAATAAGTCTGGTTAGGACTCAGCTTCATCTCCTCTCATAGGGTTGTCCATGGCTGAGAAATTCTTTGCCAAATATGCCCTGAATCTCCAGCTCCAGAAATCCTCAGTACTGAGTCTTTGGAAGAACATAGCTGACTTGGTGGCTCAGTAGTTCGTGAATCTGGTCTCCCAAGGCAGGAGCTATTCTATTAAAAAGCCTTCAAAATTAAGACCATACTGTTGATTTGGACCCAGAATAAAATGGGCATCCCATGGAAGACATGGAACAACAATCTAGGTAAGCAGGGAGCTTTTCTGGTCTCCTCCTTGCTCCCCCTTTTATCTCCTTCTCCTTTCTTATCTCATCCTCCCTACCCCTTTTATCTGTTTTGTTCAGCTGTCACATCACAATACACATCTTTACTTTTAAGCATCTGAGTGGCCCAACTGGGGGACTACTCACATACTGAGGGTTCAGCCTGTACATAAATCTTTGCAGGATCAAGTATGATTCACATGCTTTGAAGTTAAGCATGTGGGTAAATCTTTGCAGGATCAGGACTGTGTACTGTCAACTTTTTATTTATTTATTTATTTTTGGGTCACAGACTATCTTTTTAATACTTGTCTGTACAGTGCCCAGCATAAGGGGGGCTGATCTTTGGTTAAGGTTTCTTGGCAACACAGTAATATAAATAAATAATAATGGTATGAGTCACACAAAAAGACCAGTTCCAATTGGAGGGATAAAAAAAGGAAGGTTATGTTTGTCATTGAGGATGCAAGTGAATTAGCAGCTTGCCGCTCCTACCAGTGGGAAATGGCATGTCACAGATAAACAGCTGTACAAAAATAACAAATTTCACTTACTGTACACTCCACTAGAGCTTTGTTGCAGATGTGCGTTTTTGGAAAATTATGTGCTAAGTGGGGGGGTGGGTGGGATTTTTTTTGTTAGTATTTGTATAATGAGTATTGTGTTCTAATATATTTTTCATGTTTAACTTACCCCTTCCTGCCAATCGCCCTTTGAATGAAATGTTGCTTCTCAGTGAATATTTCTGTATAAATATTTTATAACCCAACTAAATAAAAAATAACTGTATAACTACTTCAGGTTAAATTGTTGAATGAGTGAAAACAGTTCCATTATACATTTGCTTTTATTTATTTTCAGCATTTTGCAAGGAAACCTCATTGAAGCAAAGTCTCTTTTCCACTCAAGTTCATACTAAATGACAAGGAATGAATAGCAATGAAACATTAATGTACTGTGGATATAGGGCACCTTCACTATAATTGAAAGTATAGAGTGTTAGCTGTAGACTTATTGAAACCTGGTATAAACACCAGCCTGCTTTAATATGCAAATTTTGTGGGTCCCCAGAGTCCCTTTTAAATCAGGGTGTTCTATGCTAAAAAAATAAAAAATGCAGGATTATTATTTCCAATGTGAGAGGCATTAACACCATATTAAAATGAAAAATAATCCATACTAATTACCTTTTCCTCAGCACTGTGAACACTGTGAACTGTTTAAATCCAAGGCGAGAATCAGAATGGGGATAACACCCGAGCATTCTCGTCGGAGGTTCAGAGCCCTAAGGTGGAAACCAGACGTGTCATTTACTCGACATGCCCACCACATTGTGAAACATTGGGATGCCTGGATATTAGGAGAAAGTGTTGAATCTCCAGTAAATTTGCCCTTCCTAATGCAAATGGAACAATTCTTAGAGGGTGTTCCTGAGGAAATAGAAAGATACATCCTAGATGGGAAGCCCAAAACTGTAATCGAGGCAGGAGAGATTGGAGCCTGATGGGTGGAGATGGCAGAGAAGAAGAAAACTGGTCACAGTTGGAGTGGAGACCAGAAGGGACAACCCCAGACCACACCCTATTACTGGGGGCCACCCAAGGCCCCACCTACCTCCCAAAGAACCCTCCAGACACCTTATCATCCCACCACCCCGTTCTCCAGCAACCCTCCTCGCCCCAGTGACCCATCAGCTGGACGATGTTTTAAATGCAACGAGCTGGGGCATGTAAAGGCCAACTGCCCCAAGAACCCCAACAGATTACAGTTCATTGCACCGGAATCACACCAGAGGTCCGCAGGCCCAGATACCTCCCAGGTACCCTTGGAGCGGAGGGAAACTGTGAGTGTGGGTGGGAAGAAGGTCACCGCGTGGAGGGACACCGGAGCACAAGTGTCAGCTATCCATGCTTTCTTGGTGGACCCCAATTTAATCAACCCAGAGATCCAAGTGACAATTCAACCCTTCAAGTCCAACTCTTTCAATTTGCCAACAGCCAAATTGCCTGTCCAGTACAAGGGCTGGTCAGGAATGTGGACTTTTGCAGTCTATGATGATTATCCCATCCCCATGCTGTTGGGGGAAGACTTGGCCAATCATGTGAAGCGGGCCAAGAGGGTGGGAACAGTCACCCGCAGCCAGGCTAAACAAGCCATGAGGCCTAGCTCTGTTCTGGAAACTTCTATCAGGACTCGGTCAGAGGTGATGGACCTGGACCCCAGGCCAATGTCTGCAACAGCAGTAGCGGATCCAGTCCCAGAGACCCAGATGGAACCAGTCCCAGAACCGGAACCAGCAGAACAACCAACACCAGACCCATTGCCAGCACTGAATCCAGTACTTGCAACCTCAACACCAGAGGGCCCCACCGAACCTGAACTGGCAGCAGCCGATAACCCTACACAAGAGGCTCAGCCAGAGCCTGAACCCCAACATAGTGTCACAGCGGAGAGCGGTTCACAGTCAACGGAAACAGCCCCATTCCCTACATCGCTTCCAGAGGGACCAAGCATAGGTCCACAATCCAATGAGGAACTGATGTCTCCAGCATCAAGGGAACAGTTCCAGACCTAACAGGAAGCAGATGAAAGCCTCCAGAGAGCTTGGACGGTGGCACGGAGCAACCCACCGCCTCTCAGCTCTTCTAATCGATCCAGGTTTGTTGTAGAAAGAGGACTTTTATACAAGGAAACTCTTTCTGGTGGACACCAGGAAGACTGGCATCCTCAGAGACAGTTGGTAGTTCCAACTAAATACCGGGCCAAGCTCTTGAGCTTAGCCCACGATCACCCTAGTGGCCATGCTGGGGTGAACAGGACCAAAGACCATTTGGGGGGGTCATTCCACTGGGAGGGAATGGGCAAGGATGTTTCTACCTATGTCCAGTCTTGTGAAGTATGCCAAAGAGTGGGAGAACCCCAAGACCAGGTCAAAGCCCCTCTCCAGCCACTCCCCATCATTGAAGTTCCATTTCAGCGAGTAGCTGTGGATATTCTGGGTCCTTTTCCGAAAAAGACACCCAGAGGACCAGCAGTGCTTATTAGGCTGTCTGGAGACTAGCTCTGCTGCAGGCCCTGATTCCTGACAACACATTCTCCAAATCCTGCCCTGCTATATGCCATGGAACCACACAAGATCCACTGCACAAGGGTGTTTGGCAAAAAAATCTTACTTGCCAAACCAATGTCTGATGCTTTGCACCCGTTGTCCATTTGGCTGCCAACTTCCATCCTACACATGTGGATGAGATTTCGTGAAGTGATTCTTATACCTATGTAGGTCCCTATGCTCCACAACACTTCCACTAACTGAGGGGACATGAATCTGGCAAAAGAGGCCACGGGCTATGGAAAGGTGTGAGCACTGAATCTGTATCAAACCCCTCACATGAGCACCGTTGTGTTTAGTCTCCACAGAACTTTGGAGCTGCTTTCCCTGGAGTGCTCCCCACAGACCTCCTGGAAACCTGAAATAGGTATCAATAATGATGATTCAAGAAGCATTGGCTTCCACTGGGTCACCTCCACAGCTACTAGTGTGCCACCAATGCTTCTGAAGGAGTAATTCTGCCAAGGTGAAGTGGTGTAGGCACTGGAGATGGAGAACAGCACATAAGTCCAAGGATCCATGGAGGTAAAAGCAGAGTTCTCGCAAACCCTGAGCTCCACGGCTCATGCCCCTCTGCCTCCTCTGCACACTCCCAAAGCTTTCCCCTCTAGCAAAGGAGAGGGGGTGAAGTGAAACTTGGAGAGTTTTATACCTACCGAAGGAAAACAAAAGAACATTTTCATTGTGTCAGAATCATTACTCACTAGCTGTCATAGATATAAAGGGAAGGGTAACCACCTTTCTGTATACAGAACTATAAAATCCCTCCTGGCCAGAGGAAAAACCCTTTCACCTGTAAAGGGTCAAGAAGCTAAGATAACCTCGCTGGCACCTGACCAAAATGACCAATGAGGAGACAAGATACTTTCAAAGCTGGAGGGGGGTGGGAAACAAAGGGTCTGGCTGGCTGTGTGATGCTTTTGCCGGGAACAGATCAGGAATGCTCTTCAGAACTCCTGTAAAAAGTTAGTAAGTGATCTAGCTAGAAATGCGTTAGATTTTCTTTTGTTTAAATGGCTGGTAAATAAGCTGTGCTGAATGGAATGTATATTCCTGTTTTTGTGTCTTTTTGTAACTTAAGGTTTTGCTTAGAGGGATTCTCTATGTTTTGAATCTGATTACCTTGTAAGGTATTTACCATCCTGATTTTACAGAGGTTTTTCTGTTACTTTTTCTTTAATTAAAATTCTTCTTTTAAGATCCTGATTGCTTTTTCATTGTTCTTAAGATCCAAGGGTTTGGGCCTGTCTTCACCTATGCAAATTGGTGAGGATTTTTATCAAGCCTTCCCCAGGAAGGGGGGGGTAGGGCTTGGGGGGCTATTTTGGGGGGAGGACGTCTCCAAGTGGGCTCTTTCCCTGTTCTTTGTTTAACATGCTTGGTGGCAGCATAGGGTTCAAGGACAAGGCAAAGTTTGTACCTTGAGGAAGTTTTTAATATGATATATTATGATCATGTTTATGATACATTAGGCATTGACCTTTCTTTATAGTGCAAGGAGAAAATACGTAGTGTCGCCTAAGGTTACATTTGACCCTGAAATCATCAAGCTTTTTAACCAGTGTTTTCTCCAAAAGCAATGAAAGAAAATTAGCCCTATTCCAATGGAGATTACCACTGCTTTGAGACAGATACTAATACTAAGAGTACACAGAGAGCTGCAATTCTGGTCCTTTTACAGGCTCAGTTCTTGACTTCTTTCACAGCCATTACTCAACGCAGCGAAGCACGGAGCCTGCTTCACAGAGGACTGTAGCCTGACACCAATGCCAAATTACAGACTGTGTTCTGGATGATGGCACATCACACAAGAGATTGATTTATGAGGTAGCCATCCCTTGTTGGGAGCAGATGCATTAGCTGTGTTCACATCAGGTAAGCAGAAATCAGATTGGGATTCTTTTATGACTGACTTCATGTAGGAAGCTAAAGATTTCAGGACTGAGACTCATTTACACTATGGTTTCTTTATACCATTCTGGCAGAGTAAAGAGGCCTCATGTGGGTTACCTTCCTGCCCCCTTCCTTCCCCACCTCAAGGCCCATTTACACTGTCCAAGTGATATAAAGGAGCTTAAGAGTATGTCTACACTGGAGCTGGAGGCGTAATTTCCAGTTTGAGTAGATGTACGTGTAAGCAGAGTCAGGATGAGCCCTACCCTGACATCTGGTGGTGAGTTGTGGCAAGTTGTGGAAAAGAACTTCAGGGGCTGATCTCATTTGCATAGGCACACCCACCTCGCCTAGCATGAGCCCATAGCTGCCCAAATGGTCACTTTGGCTGCTGTGGAATCCCCAGTTTCTCTGTTATTGGGGCAGGAAGAATAAATTGTAATTATCCTGATTATGTGAATCAAGGACAGTGGAACTGTACTTGGCCTTTTGCTATGATGGAGGGGCTCACCATCAACTAACTAGCACTTGCTAGGCAAGGGACATGGGTTCCAAAAGTCAGTGAATGGAAAGAGGCTGGGGATAGGCATTAATACCTGGTGGTATGGGGCCTCTGGTGAGGGCCTTACATGATAATTGTAGTTCTCTTTCTACTGTAGAGTATCAGAGCTAATTTTGATTCTATTAGGAGTCTAGTTACAGGCTGCTGAGCTGAATTCACTTTGGGCCAATGGTGTACCAGCACTGAAGCTCCCCTACTACAGGCTGAAATCACTGAGTGTTGTGTTAAGTAGTGGGGGAGCCTGAAGATATATTTTAGAGCAGTTGCGGGATAGCTGGCAGAGCAGAGCAGCTGGTAGAGTGGAGCAGTTTGTGGGATGGCTGGAGCAGCTCATGGGGCTTGGCTGGCAGAGAGGAGTGATTTGTGGGACGGCTGGTGGAGCGGAGCCCCATGGAGAGGTGGGGCAATTGGCTTTGGACCATGTAAGGTGCCCCTTAACCCCCCCCCCCCCCCATCTCCACCCAGGTTGGGAGGTAAAACTCTGCAGATAAACTCAGGGACAGAGACTTTTGGGTTGTTGGACTTTTGGGACTTTGGATGACTTTGGGTTGCTGGACTCAAGAACCAAAGGGAAAGGACACACCCCAAATTGCTTGGGGTGGGGGTTTTTTGCTCATGATTCATGTTATGAATCCTGTTGGTGGTGTTTCCCCAACATAATGCCACATTGTTTCTCTCTGTTATTAAAAAGCTTTTGCTACACTCAGACTGTGCT